TACTTTTATTATTAAAGGAGTACTATTATTAGCTACTAATTAGTCTTAATAACTTATTAAATAAGGTTAAAAGTACTATTAAACTACTATATAGTAAAATAAAGAGGTTATTAGGACTACTTATAAGGAGGTAAAAGGTTATACTCTAGAGAAAGTTAAAAAAGAATAGTCTACTAAGTTTTTATTATCCCTTTAGGGAAATAGTAAGTAAAGTAAAGTATTAGCTTTATACTAGAGTAATATAGTTTATAGTATAAAAGAGGTTATATATCTTATAGTAAGCTTAATAAAAGCTTAGCTATAAGGTTATATTACCTCTTAGGATTACTAGCTCTATAGAACTAGCTAACACTAGGATAACTACTTTTAGAGGAGGAAGATAATAGTAGGTAGCTAGATAATAGTAGTAAGTTATAATTAATTACTAGTTGCTCTCTTAAGATATAACTTATAGTAGAAAAGTAAAATAGTTATATTTTATACTATAGAACGTATTATAAAGCTATAGTAAGTAAATACTATAGATAAACCTAAGGTTAAATAAATTAACCTTATTATAAAGAGGGATATTATAAGGAGGGATAGGAAAGGGAGGGCTACCTTGTGTAGGTCTAGTAGAATTTAGTTATACTAACATTTGTTTTTTAGACTAATTAGAGAGTGTACATCTTATACCTATATAAGACTTATACCTATATATTAATTCCTTATACCTATATATTAATTCTTTACCTATTATACTAGCACTAATTAAGATTACCTTCTATAAAACTAGGCCTTAAGAAAGATATAAGTAAAGTAAGTATAAGAAACTAAAGCCTTAGTTAACTATATATCTTAACTATATTATAGTTCTAAGTAACTACTAGTAAATAACTAATTATATTTTATTCTCTAATATTACTTTTAATTATTATAGCTAAAGCTTTAAGCTTCTAAGAAAGCTTTATAACTAGGTTAATAAAAATATAGACATTAGCTATTCTTATTATACCTTTAACTATTATATTACCTTAATTAGACCTAGTCTTAGTCTTAAGAACACTAGCCTAGGCTATAATAAGTATACTAATAGTTATAGTGTTAAAATCTCTATAATAGTATTAGTATTTTATCTTTTAACTAATCTAGGCTAATATATACTTTTTAAAGAAGCTAAAGTTTTCTTTTTTAAAAAGATTAGTAAAAGTTATACTTACTTATAAGGCTACTATTTAAATTATCTCTTAGGTATATTACTTTATAAATAATTTAATTAGTTCTTAGGTAAGTATAATAGGCTTTACCTAGGCATAGGCCTTTTTTTAAATACTTTTAACCTTCTAAAATAGCTCTATAGTTATTATTAAGTTATTATTCTTAATTAAAAGGCCTTAAAGTAAATCCTTAATATAGTAGTTAAGTTAAAAGATAACTTCTTTATTAAGTAGGCTATAGGTTTTAAGAGGTATTCTTTTAACTAAGCCTAGGTATAAGTACTAGCTTTACTTTTAATAGTTACTTAGTATTCTTTAGGTAAATACTATAGTAAAGTAGTTATCTTCTTTTAATTAAGGTAACTAGCTAACTTTACTAAAGCTTTATACTTATTTAAAAAGTAAGTAATATTATAGCTATTAAAGGTAAATACTCTTAGAGAACTAAGAGGTAGTATTTTAATAAATATATAAGGCTAAGGACTATAAAGACTTTTAGTTCTATATTAAAGGTATTCTTAGTTAGTAGTAGTAAAAGTAACTAGCTTAGTTATTATATTTTACTAAGTATAATAGTTATATATAGTAAAAATAAGTTATTCTTTAAGAGGTATTTAACTAATAGTTATTAAAAAGTCTTATTAACTTAATAAAATAGTTAAACTAGTTTACCTTTTTTTTCTTTTTTTTTTCTATATTTTAAAGAGGCTATAGTACTAAAGTCTTTTATTTATCCTAGGTCTAAATTAAAGTTAAGTACCTAGGTCTTATAGTATTCTTAGAAGGACTTACTAAGGCTAAGAATAGTCTAATTAGATATATTTAAGTTAAAGTTAAAGATTAAGACTAATAAGGTAGTATTAGGTATCTTAGTAACTAAAGAATAGTAGTATATAACTAGTAAAAAGTCTTTATAAGAAGAATAAATATTAAATACTACTAAAAGCTAATATTATTATTTTAAAGAGAAATAACTTTAACTAAGGTAATAAAAGTATTATATAATACTTTTTAAGTATAAAGCTTTACTTATTACTATATCTCCTAGTAAAGCTTAGTGTAAATAAGCTAAGATTAAGGCTAAAGGCCTATATATACTTCTTTATTATAGTCTTATTAATTATAAAATACTATTCTTTATAAGTAAAGATTAGTTTTAACCTAATTAGGCTAATAGTTCTATAAAATTATATAATAAAGAGAGATTTAGTTAGTATAAAGGTTATTAAGTATTATACTTTAGTCTAAGAAGGTAGGTTCTAGTAATATAGTTACTATCTTAGTATTTCTATATTTAAGTCTAGTTCTTACTGTCTTTATTCTTTACTATCTCTATAATAGTAAGTAGCTTTCTTAATTAAGGAAAAAAGAAGGCTAGTATATAGGTCTTAGTCTTATCTCTTATACTACTAGTAAATAGTACTAATTCTTGCTTTTTTATCTTTTATTTAGTTAGGTCTTTTTTAGGATTAAATATATACCTATATATCTAATTAAGTTAGTTTTATTTTTTTATTCTAGTCTAGTTAGTTTTATTATTCTTATATTAGTTTTTATTATTTAGTTATTAATTTATTATAAAAAAGGTTACTATTTACTAGTAATAAAAGATTAGTAGTTTAATTCTACTATAAGGCACTATTAAAACTAAGTAGAATATTAATATATAAGGCAGTAAGATAGCTAGTATATATATAACTAATCTAAATAACCTTGCCTAAAGGTCTTATTACTAGTGTACCCTAAGTACCTATAAATAAAAGGTAACTTACTAACCCTTATCTAAGAAGATAATAATTTAATTAATAGACCTTAGTCTAATTAGGGCTATAGTTTATTAATTAAGTGTCTATCTCTAGTTAGTATTAAACTTAGTTAGTAATACTATTATTACTAAGTAGTATAAACTATATATAAAAGGTCTTATTATTTAGTTATATAGTTATAAGGTAGGTAAAGTGCTTAATTAGGCTAAAAGGCCTAATTAGGTGTATAAGATTAAAAGAATATCTAGGATCTATTATATTACTATAATAATAAAGTTATAGTTAAAAGTAAAGTTAACTTATAGGTGTTAAATTCTATTTCTATTTATCTTGTTAGTCTTAATTAGTATTTAATGTCCTAATTAGGATAATTAAGGCTCTACTAGCTAGAAAAACACTTGTAAAAACTACTTAAAGAAAAACCTAAAATCTTGCCCTGTTCTAGTAAGTAAAGTATAGTTTAGTATTAAAGTAGTATAGGCTAAGGTAGTTAATATATTAGATAAAGGCTTTATAGGTATTAGCTTTATAGTCTTATAAGTATAGCTTACTATAGTATAAGTAAGTAGGTTAATAGTTATATATTAGTTCTTTATACTACTTTTAGTAAGTTTAGTATTATCTAAGAGGCTTCTTCTTAAGTTATAAGGTAAAGGTATTACTAAATAGTTAAAACTAAGGAGAGTCTAAGGGAGTATTAAAGGTAATAACCTAGGACTATAACTAGAGGTCTTTTAAGGTAAAGGTAAAGTAAGCCTAGATAACTAGCTTACTTACTTAAAGTTTAATCTTTACTACTATTAAAGATTTAGTAAAAATAAAGTTATTATTAAATCCTAAGTAAATATTATAAAGAATATTATAAATAATATAAGAACACTAACTAGTAGATCCCTTAATACTAGTTATATTAAAAAGTTAAGATAACTTAGAGCTATAAGTAAGTATAGCTAATTATATTCCTAGGGTATATAAAGTAACTATAAAGCTACTATTAACCTAAGTTAATACTATAATATCCTTAACTAGGATTTTATAAGCTTTTATAAGTTAGTTATAGATAATTATAAGATTAGTTACTTATAAAGAGTAGTTTAAAAGAAGTCTAATAAAGACTTATATATTCTTTATATATAGACCTAGAGACCTCTTTTATAAAGCTAGTAAAAAGATTAAAGAGCCTTAATTAGATATCTCTTTTCTTTGTTTATAGCTAGTAGTAGAGAAAGTAGTAGTAGTATAGGTTTTTAAAAGGCTTTAGGAAAAAGTATTAATATTTAAGGTATTAAAGTATCTATAGGTAATATCCTTTAAGAAGTTAGTAAAGATAAGTATATAGTAGTAGACTACTACTTAGTTAACTAGTTCTAACTTAAGCTAAGTTAAAGCTAACTATACTATATTAGTAAAAGTAGTACTAATATAGTAGAGGCTTTTAATCTTATTTAAAAGATTACTAACTATAGAGTTTTCTAGGTAAATACTTAGTTAAGGTATAAGGGATTTAAGGGTCTCTTTATCCTCTTCTATAGGTAAAAAGAAGAAGATAAAGCGCTTTTATAGTAAGTAAACTAGTTATTAAGTAAAGTTAAAGCTATAAATAGTAGTATTAAAGTAAGTAGTATTATAAAGGGGGGGAAAAAATAAGTTAAAGGTGTCTAAGGTAATAGCTATAGATAAAAAGGCCTAGGCTAAGGGGCCTAGGGCCTTAGCCTTGGTGGCTAGGGCCATAGGAAGAAATTTAGTCTAAAAGGTGGCTGTTAGTGGTTATAGTATAACTAAGGTGGCCTACACTAACAGTGCGTGCCAAGAAAAGTATGTAGGAGGGAAGGTTGTGGTCAGTACACATGCATTAGGCAAGGGTGAATGTTAGGATTCTGATTTCTGCACCGGATACAAGGAATAACATTGCGTTAAAGCAGTCAGCAATCGAAAACAGGTACGGGATTATCTTAGATACAGAACGGAAACATACATAAGACGCGGAAGTTTCCTGTCTTTTCCCCTCTCAGAGTAGTCCATCTAACTCAACCATTTTCTACGCTAGGCTATTCAACATGTCCCCTAAGAGTCGATTCCCCGGCGAAAATCTTCCTGACAAAAGTGAGAGCATACTTTTCCTTCCACTCTTCGCAAATGGCACTAACCCGCTGGATCCTCCGTGCAGAACTTGGCCCCGTTGTCAGTACTCTTTCCGCTGCTGGACCGGACGGCTCCGCCATTCTGCACGGCTCCCTCGTTACGCTCGAACCCTGGTCAGTATCGAATCACTGGACCAGTTTCTGGCGCAACCTCCAGCTACTCGAAAATCCATGGCTGATGGATTACTTCTCGTTCGACGAGGTCTATTCGGAAGAGGATATGCTTAAACAAGTCGCACACGCAGCTGCAGAGCCAGACGTCATTCTGTATGCTGTTCTTGCTGATCCGGCATGCTTGGCCCCGACGAAAGGAACTGGGGGAATGGAAAGCTCAGTCCGACATATAGAGGTCCTTGGCTTCATGGCATATTCGCTGGCTGGTGCGATGCACCGTGAGATCGAGATTGGAGCGTTGTTTGCGCCGGCGCTACAGCGGACGGCAGCGGCGACTGAAGCGCATCATACGATGTTGATGAATGTGTTGGAGCCGACTGATGTGCAGGGGGGAAGCTCTTTGCCGTATCGGAGAGTGTCATGGAAGTGTAATAGTCTGAATACATCGTCTCGTAGGGCGGCGGAGCGGCTTGGGTATGTGTATGAGGGGACTTTAAGGAACCATCAGATTATCAAGGGGAGATCGAGGGATACGAGCTGGTTCAGTATTATCGACACCGAGTGGCCGTCGATAAAAAGTGCCTTGCAGAAGTGGTTGGTTGGCAGTAACTTCGATAACCATGGAATGCAAGTAAAAGCGCTTGGCCATATTCGGGCTGAGTTGCTTTCAATGGTCGGATGCTCTGACGAGTAGTTGACCACTTATTATATTCTGAGGATGCAATTGATTTCTTAAGTCGCTTCCGAAAGCAACCTTTGTTCTATGCGTCAAGGAATTCACACTGCAGTATACTCTGGGTTTTCTAATTATCAAAGTAAATACAGTATTATCACGCAGTGCCAGTCCAGATCTGGCCAAGCAGTTACTATTGGGTACTCTCTCTCTATTTTGTTCAATAACTTCGGGGCCAGGTGGTTGAAACGAACAGTTTCATTGTAATTAAGCAATACAGAATAGAAGCAGACTGTCTACTAAGCAAAGAAACAATAAAAAAAGCAAGAAATCGTGGTCCATAAACGATATACTTAGATGAGCGCACCTGCCTTTTTCTCTTTCCTTGAAACTCAGTTGCCTCCCTTCTTGGATTGTTCAGTGTCCTCGTAAGGAAGACCAGAATATTGTGGAAGCTTCCATTCCGCAACATCATCCGACTGAAACCTCTGAAAGATCTTGTCAATCTTCAACGTCATCATCAACCACAGAACGCCATTGAAGATGGTTATTGCCCATTGTGAGTTAGGAAAGATCCAAGACGGCTTGATCCCGACATCCTGAACCGTGTTCATCAAGCTCAAGATTTTTTGGTCGTATGATTCAAGGGCGGCTGGCACCCCATCAGAAACTCTACCAGAAGACGGTGAGCAGTGCTCCGAGATCTCTCCTGCCAGAACGTAGGCTCCAATGAATGCACAGGTTGTTCCGCGGCCGGTCACGACGCTTGGTGCGTACCCCGCATCGCCGATGAGCACCACACGGTTCTTGTAGCACTTCTTCATTCGAATCTGCCCGATGTTCACGGAATAGAAATCATCAGATACGCCGGCTTCCTGCAAAGCGTCCACGAAGCGATCTGCCTGCCATCCGGCGTCTCTAAAAAGCTCCGACCACACCTGCTTCTGCCGTTTGACGTCGCGGCTCATTTCAGCGTCTACAAGTAGCTTCTCGGTTTGGTCGTCAGTTGGACTGATGCTAAGGTAGGCCTGCGTCGTCTCTGGGTTGTCGTTTCTTATCATCATGACTCGCTTCTTGGTGGAAACACAGACAGTAGCGTAGTTGGTATCCGTCTTCCACTTCGGGATGGTGTAGAATGCCATGTGCAAACCAAGCTGATAGAATGGGTCCTTGGCCCCAGGGCCAAGCATGAGTTGTCTGGTTCTGGATCCTTGTCCATCTGCTCCAACGAGGAGATCATATGTGGCTGTAGTGCCGTTGGACAGACGCGCTGTAACTGAGTCTGGATCCTGTTCAAAGGACTCGATGGAAGCGCCAAAGACGTACTTGACCCCAAGATCTTTGGCTTTTTCGAAGAGAATTCGGACCAGGTCGCCACGCATAATCTCGAACTCGGACGTAAACGCCTGCCTGCCGACGCCGGTCTTGTTTGCTTCGAAGGTAGCCCGCGGCTTTCCTTTAAGGTTGACAAATGTGAGGCCGGCCTCGTTGACCACCCTGGATCGTATTGATTGCTCCAAGCCCATACGGCGGACCACTTCGATTCCCTGGCCGCGAAGGTCGATTTGCTGACCCTGAATGCGAAGACTAGCAGATCGCTCGACGACGGTCACATCGTGGCCGAGCTTCGCCAGCCAGAACGCCAGGGCTTGCCCAGCGATGCCCCCGCCCGAGATGAGGACTTTGACAGATGACATATTAATCAAAATTTGTTCGACAAAAGTAGAAGATTCCGCTGAAATGCTCTAGACTATCGCAGATGTTGCTTTCTGTGCACGAGGCCTGCGGGTTCTCATACATTCAACAGACCAGCTGGATTGGAATGGTATATTAGACAAATGAGGAGTTAAATCATGGTTGATGTAATTAGCATGTAGCATGTAATGACATTGGCGGACATTGTGTCGGAGTATAGGCTCGGCAATCTGTCTAGTCCGACATCCGGTCCGAATTCGCTAATTATTGCGACTACACCACTCGTGACGTCAAGGCTCGGGTCTAATGATTGCCGAGTGTCAGCGCACTGGCCAGCAAACGGCATATTCGCACTAATCTGAGCCTGGTGACGACTTCCTTTAACAGCGTAAAGTAAATTGCTGAAGCAACTTGGATTTGTTTGACGTTAGTCTTCGGAGGAGTCGGATGTTGCATTCGGGATGACTGAATGACCAATCGGTGTTTAGTGACACGCTCTGGACGATACCAACTAAGCCGCCATTGGACGTACGATGGAACGTTGAACCTTGTGCATCAGGAGACTCTCACGTAAAAACGATATTGCATGCAGATAGGATATGGCTTTAGTGGTGAGGTCCTAGTTGATACGATGCTCGATATCGATGTTTCTATCTCGCTTTCCACCACCAATGGTTTATCAAGTCATCTATCAACTCGACGCATTGTGCCCTTCCATGACGTTCAAAACGCTTTTTACGTTACTTCTCCATGTCCAATTACGTTTAAGGAAACTTTGGCCAGACTAACAGACGGCCAATATAAGATCAGAGGCAACATGTTAAGCCAATGTCAGCCATTAAAGGAATATCAATATGAAATTCAAAACTAGGGTCTCACTAATGGCGATCATTGATACGAAAGCTTTCTCACTTGCTAAACATACAAGCAACTTAGCTTGGCGTTCGGTTATGTTCACACATCATTACAATAATTTATGGAATAGTTCTGTAATATCACAGGCTGCCTAAGCTGTACCTTCCTTCGCCTCACCTCGCTGTGTTGGAAGATCCAAAGGTGGATCTGGATGGCATCCAGGATCTCTCAATGTCCAACCTTACAGATCAGCGTGGAACAATCAACTTCGTCGCCCCTTATACTGCCGAGTGCGAGAAGGACAACGTCGGGTTCCGCAACCATATCATGGAGAAAGGCTTGGAGCCTAATCAAATCGCGACGGAGTGGAAGGCCTCTGCCTTGTACATGGCCTATATTCGGTTGAATACTCACCACTGTGCTCACATGATACTGGCGCTGCGAGCTATTAGTATCCGGTTCTACCTTCGTCATCATGGTATCATCATGGGCAGAGCCAATGACAGGTAATAGGGCCATAGTCTTATGGTCGACGGCGTTCATCTCTTCAAGCTGAAATGCCCAATCGACCATGTCAAGATCACTCGCGAGGAAGATTTCCCTCACGCCAAGTACAGTTACGGGCATTGGTAGGATACTAGGAGAGGAGTTTAACATCTATGATGGTTTGAGGATACCATACTCGTCTATAGGAAGAGCTTGTAAAGATAACCGAAGATGAACGAGCATCGTGAGTTCATCCACTTGGCCAGTCTGATATGGACATTGTACAATGCAAAGTATTCACGCAGGCTTCTGTGCCTCGAGCGTGATTATACCTGAAATGAGACAATGAATTGCCATGAGAATAAACAACATATATGACGCAAAATTCCACTAAGTCCTTGCCATCGAACCACGCCACCAATTCATTCCTTGTTCTATCGCTTCTTGTGTTAGATAAGACAGGCAAGAACACCAGCAATGATGGCTAAGCTTGCGCTCTGCATAACTGCACCGGCTGTTGGTACTGTGCTTGGGGATACTGTTGTCGCCGATGTTGAGCTAGTGGCAGTAGAGTTCCCAGTAGCCTTTTTCGGCTCAACAGCTGTTTGATAACTGGAACAGACGGCGTTGGGTGAGAGAGGGCAGTCGTCAGCAATGCATATCGCCTGCAACTGAGGTCCCTGCTCAGGAATTGCCGTAGCGGCAGGGCTACAACGGAGGCCGAAGAGCTGGTTCAAAGCCATACCAACAGTCTTAAGGTCATCCTGGGTGACACCAAACGATGCCCCAGCAAGAGCAACCTGCTCGATGAAATATCCGAGCTCATTCGCGTCTAGGTCCATGAACTTGTGCACTTCATACATGGAGGCAGACCCGCCGTATCGGGGGAAGCCAGCCATGCCATACTTGGAGCAACCGAGAAGGGCGCCGAAAAATTGGTAGAGATGGGTCAGAAGGAAACTGGATGACATGAGTTAGTTTCAAGTGGGTTAAATCTTCAGGTCAGGGCTACCCACTATTGCTGAGACTGGTCGTTGTTGGCAGGCATGTTCTTCATCAGAGGCGCCGCGCCACCACCATCCAAGAAATTGACGGAAACACCGGAGCTGCCACCTCTGTTGGAAGAAGCAAGTTCTCCATTGAAGTAAGGGAGGAGGTTGACTTCTGCACCATTGTAGGTACCTGTTGCTAGAATTCCGGGCACCTTGACTCCCACGTTTGGCGTAGTGTCTAAACGAGTTAGAGTCAGGAAGTCTTTCAACTCAAATCTTGGGTACAGCTTACAATTTCCAATAACAGCAGTGTTTACGAGGAGTGTCAGCAGGGTGTATTGGTTTTCGGCCGTGTTGTTCTTCAACAGTGCTGTCGTGTAGTAGTCGCAGATTGGTGTGTCAGTCGGGCGCTGGGCGACTGCGACACCAGCTGCAGCAATAATGGTAGGGATGATCTTGGAGTGCATCTTGATCAGTAGTTGAACTTTGAAGAAGTTGTTGTACTATGATGTGATATTATGAAGAAAGGGAAGTTGCTTGGTTTTTCTTGCTAGACGGAAGAGGTGTCCAGTCTATAAATGCTTTGAGAAACCACTTAGATGTCGAAAGGGTACTACTCTCACAACCTAACCTATCTATGATGTGTCACACATTGGTTTCCCTATTAACCAACGATGGAGAATGTTTGGCAACTGGCACCAAATAGGAAAAGATGGTCTCGTCAAGCCTTAGCACTAGTCTCATGCCTACGAGCTTGGAGCTAGTGGACCGCCAGGCACTAGTGCCGGGTCTGCCCCGATCCGGAGGAGCATCATCCGAGTCAGGGCAATGGTCTATATTCTTTTGGAAATACTATCTATCTCATTGGATGATAGAAGCCGTTGAAGTCCTAGACTGGGTTGACCGGATAGTCTAAGCCAGAGATCCGAACCCCACGGGCTGGAAGCGTCTTGAAGGCACCAAGCCGTCCTTTACGCCAATTTCCCATGCCTCTCGGATCCCACCCGACCTGGCAGGTGAGAAAAGGCAAGGCTCGAACTAAAAAGAGTTATTGGTAATGAAATTATCGCTCTTAATTGGGCTATCACTCGGATGAGATTGTTTCCGGCATGATCAAGTTATTTGAATTGATCGACGGAATGGCTCGGAGGAATTAGGCATCCTGGAACGGATGAAACACATTCCGGATGCCATAGAGCCATCAAAGGTGAGGCCTAGTAACGCCCAGCGTCGGATCATACCGGCATCTTCGTCTTTGCTGCCTCTCGAATCCACACCATCGCCGCCGCCGACGTGAGATATTGTCACCGTTTGTATCTCGGAGTTCTCGTGCGGTAAATTCTGATTGGTTAACCAGTGTTTAAGCATTTATGGAATTTGTCACATACTCGGGTGGATATGAAATCGTCACCAAACCTCCGTTGTTGCTAAATCCGATGTTATTAGATACCAAACAGGCCAACCAGATAGTTCCACGTTGGGATGTGGAACATTAAAGACTTAATACAATAAGTATGACGAAACCGCCGATATTCTTTTGTAGTACAAGATTGTGGAAACTATGAGGTACGGTTTGTCTTTGGGCTCTCTAAAAGGATGTTGGTCATCTTTTAAATGTCAAGAATGAAAGGCTGCTCATCAGTGGGCTGGGAAATTTGTTGAAGAGCATAAAGCCCCGGAAACTACTTAGCAATCATTAGTGCCGGGTTCTAATGGAAGAATTCTCGTGTATAAGAAAGGGTATAAAGCAGAAAAGTGACGGCTTACAGGGAGAGCGTCGTGCCTTAGGTCTGAACCAGACCAGAACAGCAGAGGCGGTCCAAGACAGGTTGAAGAGATTTCCGCATTCCAGCTGATCGATCGAACCATACTTTCGCAATCGGAATGATAGCCAGCTGCTCCAGAGCAATACCGCCTGGAACCACTTCATGTTTATCTCAGACGCGGCACGCGCCCTTCTTTGTATCTTCCATGGTTCGCAAGCCAGTGCCGACAACCTGGCATCTTCCCTGGCTAGAGTATAGTCACAGCGTCAACTCCTCAAGCGGCCCCTGACAACTGATGTGTGAGCCCTGGGAATCACTAAAGTTTGAGCCTACAGCGTGTTGCTTTTGCACCTCGGCTGGCAATGCCTCCACCTCTATTGCAAGCCTCCCCTTCAGAGAGTTCACACTCAGAATTAAAAACGATCCCGGTGTGCCATCTTGCTTGTGGAGGAACAAGCAATGGCACCATGCACCGTTGGATGCAAAAAGAACTATTCTTTCACACAGGTACCAAAGAAAAGAAGACAAGAGAACGCTTCTCCAGGTACAAACTCCGTAATGTGATCAAAGGTTCTGTGCTTCTGTGCCTGACGAACCGGGTGGAGTAGATCGCCACAGGCGCCCCTAGCGCCCCACGCTGCCAAGAACGCCCAGTTGAGGCTCAGGAGAAACAAAACATCAGCTGCTATCACCAGGGCCATCAAACGATTTCACAGGGCAGAAGACACGATTGGCTTGAGTTAACACATAGAATTCTAGATGATCAGCCTACAGATATGAGGACACCTGACACCTAAGAAAGAGGGGCAACAAACTGGAGCGTCCAGATCGACGGCATTTACGGATATAGCACCAGTCAAGGCAACGATTTAGGAATGAAGGAAGAGAATGTCAATGGGTAAGCGAGATGACCGAGACCGCCTTCAACATGGTCTCTGGGAGAATCGTGCGAAGCCGGTTAAATTACGAAGGAGGGGTAGCTCGAAATGCCCGTAACGTTTCCGTCGCACCCGTGGCAAGACGTAGTCTGGATACACAGCTACTAAACTACCATTCCCAAAAACAAAAAAAAGGGCAGTGCGTGTCATTGACTACCTTCTTGTACATAATAGCTACTAGAGTGATGATGTGATAGGAGCTCCAAGGGGACGGAGCTTGGGTAAATTAAGCTTAGCGGATTCTCCTGTGTGGAGCACGTTCCCTGTCGAGAGACATACCCCCCCCCCCTCGCCCCGCTTTGCTTGTGTTTGTTTATTTGTTTCTGCCCAGCGCCAGTATGGGGAGGAGCCCAGTGGTACTCTTTATATCCGTACAGAGCGCAAGTAACTGACCCGGGACATTGCGGTTTGGCGATTAAAGTATGCCCACTTGTTGTCCTCCCCCATGATATGACCCTATATATACGGACTATAGTATAACGAATACCGGCCTTACTGTCTGGCTTCACCCACTTTACTTTACGGTGTCATCCGGCCGATCCTCTTCTGATCCTTGCGACGTCCCACTAGGCAAGCGTTTTTCCTTAACTAAACATTATAGCAGCTCATAGATTCTGGCGTAGTTGCACGTCTTACCTCTCGGCATGTCCACCCGAATTTGCCGGGCTGCCGTTTCGTCAATCAATTGAGCTTCACATGCTCGCAAAACCCTGTTCTCCATGGGCTCGCTTATAGTGTATAACCTCAGTGGCATTAACAGCTCTCCAAAGTTGCCTCCGCAGCCCATCTGCTTCACAGTCGCTGTGATTCAAATCCGGGGTAAAGTGCCCTGACACTGTCGTCTGTTCCTCGTGCGTCGTTCATCCGAACAGATGCAGTGGGCTGCCACTGTTGCATAACCATTCTGCAGACTGCAGTTGTCTCCTTCTGTCCAACGGACCAAGACTACCGTCATCTCTCGCCTTCCTCCCTGCTATAGCTAAAACCGAGTACAACCCCCCCTCGGACGAACGCGTCCAACTCGGCAGTCCGAACGAGTAACGCCCGAAAGTGTACAGCGCACAAGCCTTCCAGTGCCCGCAACCCCTCACCCCGCGAACTGCTGGTTCTGATTAACACTGCAACCCTGAATGTTTATTTCCAGTTCTGGCATCTAATGGCGTGAGGGCTAAAGACACCATTTGCCATGTGAACGACACGGCACACGGCTGCAGCAGACTTCTGCCAGATCATCTCAAAGTCCCATCAATCATAACTTCTCACCTCTTTCTTGTCCGTTTCCCACCCACCCAGAGTTGGACTTAAGGCGGACGCCCCCTGCCCCTCAGACAATCCAGGACCCCTGTTCAGCCACTCTTCCTTTTTCCCTTTCTGGCTGTCAACCTCGCACATACACGATGAGGAACCCCTTGTCGCTGGTTTGTGATATAATGATTCCGCCAATCAACAAGGCAATATAGTCTGTCGCAGGCCCTTTCAAGAGGCAACTTTGGTAGGCGAGTGACCATGGAATCTCAGGAAGGAAAGCCAAATCCAGGAGGGAGGTCTTTCAAGCTCTGGACTGCTTGGCCGTCGAGCACCAAATCTGGCGTGCTGGTGCTGACTTTATAATGTTGTTCATCACCCACATCTTCAAGATTCTTAAGGAGGCTCTCTTGGGCTCTTTTAGTGTCTCTCGTGCTGCTTGGCCTTATTCTAACCTCGCCATCCTCTCATTCCCTGCAGTCGTCAGACGGGAAGGCAGCTCATTGTAGCCTACAATGGCGTCTAGTACTCTTTTTCACGTCTTCCTCTTCTCTATCCTCTCGTTTGCTTCCTCAGTCCTGGCAGCCTTCGGCGTCACCACTTCGGGCAGCAACTTTGTCATCGATGCCGGCTCATCCAACCCCCTCGTCTTCCAGGTTTCCAAGTCGAGCTGCGATATCAACTCCATCAGATACCGCGGCCATGAGCTGCAGTATGCGAGCAAGGGCAGCCACATCAGCTCTGGCCTCGGCTCCGCTACCGTCGAGGCGACCACCGTCACTGTGAGTACTGGCACCAGGGTCATTAAGGTGACCTGCACCACCTCGACCCTGACCCACTACCTTATCGTCAAGGAGGGTGACTCCAGCATCTACATGGCCACCTATATCACTGCTGAACCATCCATCGGCGAGCTTCGTTGGATCTCGCGTCTCAACAAAGACATCCTCCCCAATGAATATCCCTTTGGCACCGCCTCCACCACCGCCGGCTCAACGGCGGTTGTAGAGGGCTCCGATGTCTTCGTCGTCAACGGCCAGACCCGGTCCAAATTTTATTCAAGCGAACGATTCATTGACGACAAGGTCCGTTGCGTCTACGGCACTAGCCCCGAAGAGATTCATGTATGCGTGTCCGTCGAGCCCAATACCGGCTTCGAGCTGTCCTCTGGCGGCCCCTTTTTCCGTGACATCAACACCAACAACGCAGGTGACTCCACCAACCTTTACAACTATATGAACAGCGGGCACGTCCAAACCGAGCCTTACCGTGTGGGTCTGCACGGCCCTTACGTCCAGTCCTTCTCCCGCTCCGGCATCCCCAATAATTTCAACTACGCTTTCTATAGCGAGCTGGGCCTCAAGGGCTTTGTGGCCAGCTCTGGCCGTGGCACTGTTTCTGGCACCGCCTCCGGCATCGCCGGCAACTTCCAACGTGTTGTCCACTGGTACAATACCAACGCTCAGTATTGGACCTATGCCTCTTCCACTGGCGCCTTCACCTCACCCCTGATGAAGCCTGGTACCTACACTATGGTTCTCTACCAGACCGAGTTCAAAGTCGCCACAAGCTCCGTGACTGTCACCGCCGGCAAGAGCACCACCGCCAACATTGCAAGCGGCTTGACCTCCCGTACCAGCCTCT